GCTCCCCTCGTTGGCGGATGTAACTAGCCAGTTTCTGTTCGGTCGCGTTTCGATGTATGAGTCGTGAGAGTCCTGATTTGCTCTTTTCTGCTTCTACCTTCTCATCCAAAGATTTGAAGAATTCATCGCATTTGGATTGGAGCGTTTGACGGGCTAGTTCGAGTCCTTTAAAAGAACTGGATGAGAAGGGTCAGCCTCTCTAGCTCCATTGATTCCTTAATCTTCCTTTACCCCCTCTGACATACCTTTCTATTGACGGTTGACCATAATAAATACGATCCATTCGCAATTTCTCTTGCGTATTGATCTCTGCGTCCAAGTTCCCTTGGTACGACTTGACCTGAGAAGCTAGATCTGAATCGGCTTTGAGTTCAGCAGTGAACCGACGCACCAAATCGGGCCGCGAGAACTCTTGTGTTGTATTCATAGTGTTTGTCTGCTGTGAAGCAACGTCAGCAGAAAAACAGTGCCAGTTTACACACCCGCAACGGGCCTGAAATTCGGATGTGAAAGGACTAGCGATACGGAGTACACTGACCGCAATTAATGCATTAGTCGAGGTATATATACGAAGGTACCTCCTAGCTAAATGTTATTCGACCCACTTTGGCTATTATGACTTCTGATTCGACATCGGAAAGGCCACACCCCCGCTTCAGCCGAGTCCGTGATCACATCCCGCTACATTTGCATTGTGAAACCAAATTCAAAGCCAATATAGACTTGTTAGTAGTTGTTGCTAGAATGCGAGGCTTTTCGGGACCGGCCGCTTCCACGTGTCGGCACGAGATACATATGTATGTAGGAAGTTTCTTTATGAACTCGTTCGGGGCTTGGACTAGACTTGCGGGGGTGGTTGGGCTTACATGCATTATCTGCAATAAGCAGAGCGGAACCAGTCAAGTGGATTTTGCTAATATAGACAAATGAAATATGCCATAGGATTTTAGATCAGGAGTTTTCAGCCCCCAAATTGCGTCTTATATCGCTGCCGGTATAAATAGCCAGATACGAGCCTGGAGAGTGAGAAATGGAGTTGGAATTCAAAGAATTGCCGCTAAAATTCCCAGAGCCTCTTTTTACCATTTTTTCAGCAACGGTTGTAAGAAATGGAAATTCTCACAGAGCCAACCACTCACCCTTCTGAATATAAGGCTCATGAGGTGCAGTCTACAATGGCAGACAGTGCACTTGATAATATAGCGACTGGTAAGTTCAACTAAAGAAAAGCGCCGCAGAGCTCTATCAGCTGATTAGGCAACAAGCGAGCCAGAGCGCTACAAATGTAGCACAGGGAATTTTGTGTGAGACAGAAACGTCTGACGCAATAAAGACCTCAAATCTCAAAGACACCACTGACGTTAAGCCGGAGCCGCCGTCCTTGGCCGAGGAGAGTGGTGCAGACAAGACCTCTTGTAGCAACACTGAAGTCAACGGAATCGTTGCCACGGAAATCACGACTGCTACGAAGAGTCAAGCAAGTATCGTTTTTGTTGATCCCTTTGGCACTCGTTGGACCTTTCCATACGAGGATTCTAAAACTTGGGACGTAAGTCATACGGGCTTGCTCTTCTGCTTGTCTCTGCTGAATCTTTGCAGGACACCAAGAAACTGGTTAAAGCAGTCTTTGACACATACTCCACTGAATGGCTCACGCATTACCTGGATGAAGAAGACGACCTTGGGGAAACATTTTCCATTACCAAAATTAAACCCGAACACTCAAATATCCTGCCCAGTCATTGGGAAAGTTTGGTCTCACCCGGATGGGAATTCAAGCTTGAGTTCACCTTTGATGTGCGCTCCTCGATTCGCAGACAGAAAAAGCTTGCAGAAGAAGAAGAAGCTGCGGAAAAGGCCGATAAAGATGCTAAAGAACCTGATGTGGCGGTCGAAGAATTGAGTAAGGTGTCTTATGTTGCAACATATTTAGCTCCGGATAGCGATGGTGATTACCAACGCCGTAATACGAAGCGACTCAACGACAAGACAATCTTCACAAAAGTTTCCGATGTTCAAATCCCCAAATCAGTGATCGAGGAGCATAGAGAGGTCTACTGCAGCAACAAATATGCTACTGATCCTGAGGATGACATGTTCGACACAATTAGCAGTCCGGTACTCTACATTCATTCACCGATTCTTCTCAATGCCCTCAATGCTATCATTGATTGCCAATCACGTCCAGACAGGATCCCTCGAGTCGAATATCGTATCGAGGGAATCGAAAGTGATCTCGGACAGGGTCGGTTAGTGTACCCTTTCACTGATCTTCATCACTATAGGGAGAGATTGCTCCAGTATCGAGAGGAAGTGGGTGAAACTCATGACACCGAGTACACGATAACATGTCAAGAGCATATTGACATTCTGGTTGGATATTTGGATGGGCTAACAACAATTGGCGTGAGAGACGCCGAATTTCTCTGGAACAACGAAGTCCCAAAGACGACTTTTAGCTCTCTCTGGCTTTTGTTGAAGCCTGGGACAGACGTCTTTGTTCAGGAGCAAGGAAAACTGAATGCATATGTTATTGAATCGTTTTCGGGAGGAGTGCCATGGGGTTCCCCTAATGCTCGTTCGCGGCCATATATTGTGAATGTTTGGAATCTCAACTTTGACGGCCAAATTCTAAGTCGTTCCGTTAAAGAAGTCAGCATTTCTATTTTTGACGGGCAACGTGAAATTACCTCTCTCCCTCTATTTCCCATCAAGTTTCATGTGGACGAGGACCCACAGAATCCACTACGTCAGCAATTGGTGGATCGAGGGAAAAGATTTGTCGATATGGTGAAGACACCTACGTTCCAGGAGTACAGCGGCCCAAGTAGACTGCAAGGCAATCGAACAGTGAGTTAAGCATTGAATGCATATACACTCATTATATCCCCAGGCGCTCTCCAAATCTCACACCCATATAGTTTAACCAAACGCGAGTCGTCGTTGACCACACTAGTCAACCATGGAGACTGAACGAGATCGCCGGTGAAAAGCACGCCCATTTGCCAATTGAAGAAGTCTACAATGTTGAGCTGGGCCAAAGAACAAGGGAGCCGAAATGTCTATGCAAAACATGCCAAGCGAACAGTCTTCGTCAACACGGCATTCAACGTCGCATTTTCGACGACTACGATAATATTGATTTGAGTTCAGTTTCAACCCTAACCGATCATCAATATTTACTCTGTTGGTCGCATGTATATGCATACGTGCTGAAAGACCGCGTCTGGGGTATGGATTAACATGTCTGTGCTGGTTGGAACGCTGCTGATTACGGAAATAGACGTATTGGAGATATCCAGTCTGAGAGACCCAAAGATATATAAAGGTATCATTGACACGCTGGTATTGAAGCCTGAAAGCAACAAGCAAATGATCAAGGCCGTCTGCGAGATATTTGGTGGAACGTACAAGCAGGCCTTCTCTTCGGACTTTATCCAGGGCAAAGGAGAAGGACAGATCTTGCTACTTCATGGTCCTCCAGGAACAGGAAAGACTCTCACAGCTGGTATTAAAAATCCCTAGACTGAAGAAAACCCCGGTATGACCCGCCACTAACCATCGTGGTACCAGAGTCTGTTGCAGAGTATACAGGTCGACCTCTTCTTAACATTACTGCTGCAGATTTAGGCCATGAACCAGTGCCGCTGGAACAAAATCTGCTTCGTTTCTTTAGAAATGCAAGACATTGGAACGCAATCGTTCTTCTTGATGAAGCGGATGTTTATCTCGAAACTCGGTCTGCCCAGGATCTTCGAAGGAATAGTATTGTTTCTAGTAAGTTCCCCGTGGTGGAGTAGTGCAGATAGCGGCTAAGCGATATTTACCTGCACCAGTTTTCCTCCGAGCCCTAGACTACTTTCAGGGTATTCTTTTCCTAACAACAAATCGCGTGGGAAGTTTTGATGAAGCAGTCATGTCACGAATCCATGTCCAGATCGGATATGACCCACTCGATGAGGACTCAAGGAAGCAAATCTGGGACGGTTATTTCAAGAAGCTCTCCAAAAACCATAACAATGATGGCCAAGAGATTCGCTGCTCATATGATGCCAAAGAATTCGTTCGGAAGTCAGATGATCTCCGGGCACTCAGATGGAACGGCCGCGAGATACGAAACGGTAAGTAGCACGCAACAATCTCACTTTCTCGACTTGATGCTCACACTATCCAAGCATTTCAAACTGCTGTGGCTCTTGCATGCTTCCAAGCAAAGCAGGAAGGGAATCCTATTCCCGAGTTGACAGATGACCATCTTCGCCAGGTCGTAAACATGTCTCATAATTTCAAGAGTTACGTGAAAGCGGTTCGCGGAAAGGAAGAGGATTATGCTTATGCGGCAGGAGTTAGGAACGATACCACAAGATCTTCTGGGGGAGGTGACGAACGGCTGAGAAGTGTGGATATTCCTAATTTCTAATCAACCGGTGGCATTTCTCTTGAATAGATATGTATCCAATTGTAGCCACTGCCAACGCTCAGCTGAGGCAATCATATGTGGCAGGGCCTTTCCCTCTTTCCATTTCTCTTTCTGTCGGTTGTTCTTTCTTTGATAAATGCACGCAGAATATTTCCCTCTTAACCAGGGCTAAGACAGAATTAGACACTATCATGTCTCGTTACACTACTAGAATATGGAATCTATTTGATGGAAAAGAACAGATTTTGGTTATAAGATGACAGAACCATAAAAATACTCCGAGGTTATGGCTGTACGATTCTTGGTTGAAAATACCGCGGAGAAACCAATATGAACTATAAGAGGACTCTCGCCACATCGATTAGGAGGAGTGGGACAGTAACAAGAATGAAAAGTGGGTTTAAGGAAATCACGATATCTTAGATCTCGGTATATATATCGTATTGTCTCTCTCTGTAAAGGCAATCGCACTTGTTTGTAAGAGAACAGAAAATTTGTATAAGACAAGCCACCCATGCAATAGTAATATAAAGAACGGTTGTACTCTCAGGAATTAGAATAAAAAAAGCCAGCAAATCGCTTATGCTGGCACACGGTGCCCAACACTTCTCCAGAACTCACAGCGCTTGCCACGGCCACCTTCCCACTTCGATGCATCCGCCAGGCTGAAATCATTCGTGATACCAGGTCCTTCTTGAAGCCAGTAAGAGAGATGATCGGTAACTTTGTTGTAGACCAGTGTTCCACCCGTAGTGTTGAGGTTCATTAAGAGAGGGGAGCTGCGATTCCATCTTGGCCAGGAGATATCTCCATTCACACCCTCAGGTACGGTGGAATTGTCTGCACCACCCTTTGCGTCAACTATAGAGATGACTGGAGTATCATTGATGATGAAATTGCCCCAAATCCTTTGAAATGCATGGATGAACTCGCGAGTGGGCGTAGTTGCCCCAATAGAGAAGTATGCGGTCAAATCCGCTCCGTGGTACGAAGGGGCGACAGAGTACTGATATTTCCAACTCTCCTTGGTATGATCTCCAGCGAAAGCATCCGCAAGCCAGTAAGAGGGACAGTCGAAGACTGATTCGGCATATATGTCAAAGACCGTCTGCTGAAGACCAGTTGCCATTTCTGATTGGTTCAGAGCAGTTGGACCACGATCACCTAGTGTATCGTATCGGGAGGCATTGTTTTGAGGAGAGCTGTTACGGAACTCGTAGATATTCAACAGGCGGGAATAATCACCGCGGGAGAACAAAGGGAAAGTAGAGCGGACATAATTCAGGAAGCCGGCAGTGGTGTTCACAAATGGCGAACTAAGTGGAACACCCTCATTGGCATTGTTCTGGAGGAGTTAGAATGAAAAAGCACTACTACATGTCGGTACGAGAATTTGACACAATGAACTTACCCCAGATAAAACGCGCTTGCCGCTCACTTTCTTCTTGAGCAATTGCTTGGACGGCAGCTCCCGAATGAAGTCGCCGTCGACCACAGGCTGGAAAGCCCAAGTACCCCATGCTCCTGAAATGGAGACATTTGCACTGGCGTATTGCAAAGTATCGGTGTCAGCATTGACAAGGCAGTCAAATACGGCTGCCTCGGATATATTACCCCCATGGTAACACCCTGCTCGTGCCGCAAAATGTTGATAGTGATTTGTCGGTACTTCACCGTCGTACTGATGCAAGGACGTGGTATACGGGCTGGCGGCAATAACCTATGCAAGTTAGCTGTACTGTCTCAGATGTCATGGCGGTATGGCTTACGTTATTGAATAAGTGGTCCTCACGACCACCATAAGCCATTGATTGTAGTACAGCCGAGCCTGCTCCCGAAGATTCACCGGCGATCGTGACGCGGGAGGAATTACCGCCAAATTTTCCGATATGCTCCTGGACCCATTCGAGGGCGAAACGCATATCCAGCAGACCTGCATTGGTCTTCCCGTACTTGTGTACGCCTTCTGATGACAAGAAGCCAAAGGCTCCAAGTCTGTACTGAATCATAACTGCAATGAACCCGTTGTCGTTTGTGTTGATCCACTCACTGGGGTCGTATTCGGCCCCGAAAAGCCCATATCCACCACCATCTATAAGTGCTTAGAACATATTTTCTTTTGGGTCGAATATCAAAATATTTGACTTGTGCATAGACTTACGGATCCAAAGGAGGACAGGAAGGTCTTTGGCCCCGGGCGGAGCATACAAATTTAAGAACAAGCAGTCTTCATTGCCCAGGGCTGAATTGAAGCCATATATTTCTGGAAGCTTTGCAGCACCGGATTGTGGGCAAAGCGGAGGCTGTTCAATGGCAGATTGAATAGAAGTCCTATTTACTGGAGGAGCCTGGGGCGCTTGCCATCGCAGCTTTTCAACAGGAGGGGCCGCATATCGAATCCTAAAACAATAAGTTAAAAATAGAACGACTGGGCAAACCCATTGCGGTATTTTTTTCTCACCCTTTGAAGATATTGAGGTCAAAGGTGTGGTTATAGTACCCCTGGTAGGTGGCGTAGCCCAAATCAACCACTGGGCTGGATGTTTGGACAGAAGCAGCTAGACCAGTTGGGGCAGCAGTGAGAGCCAGAAGAACAAGGCTGCTTATTCCAGCTGCGAAACCCATGCTAACTAACCTCAGCCGTTAGGATCGGAGAATTGGAGAGGGTGAAAGAAACTGGTACATCTATTTGAGAAAGTGATTGGTGAACCTCACAGCCCCTTATGTACAGTTCCTGCAGGGCTAGCGTAACCCGTAAGCGAGGCATACGAGTTATGACTGGGCCATGTAACATTCCAAGCTTTTCCTTGATCCACTAGTCTTTTTTAAAGGGGGTACTATAACCTCGGATTATTGTAAACAAGATGGATGAATGATTGAGTATCCAGTCTCACATATCCTTCCGGGCTCCCCATACAATCTTGTTTATTTGAGCAATTGCAGGTCGCTCTGATTGATCAATCATCTTTCATATACATTATTCAAAATCAAATATGCATTGTGTGGGAAATAATACTGGCTATTTTACCACTAGACCACAACAAAAACTAAGGTTCCTGTTTTTATGGCCTAGGGGGGCCTTATCCCATTATGACACATTGTTCAAATGTGTACGGAGTAGCCAGAACAAAGCACTAATAATATGCATGGATGTAACATGGGGGCCAAAGTATACTCTAGTAATGGAGTAATCTACTCCGTGGGCGTCGATACTCACCTAGGCACCCGCAGATAGGCCCCTGGGCATATCGCCCATATGGTCAGTTCTTTTGGGAACACTTCCCCATTGAATTTTTTTTATTATCGACTCCCTTGATTCTCCATTGACTCGCCCCTAATAGACTTTCACACCTCAATGGCAGGGAAAGTCGATTTGAGTGCATCGCGGGTCACAACCGTGACTATATGTTATGCGGTTCCCATTCCATTTATGATTTTGTTCACCGGTCTCCGGCTTTTCGTGGTATTACGACCCTCATCCAAACATCCTATTAACTTCGATGATTATATGATTACTTTTTCCACGGTCCGAACTAAAATTTCTTTTTTTCTCTTTATATTTTATTCACTTTCTCGTTGAGATACCCAATTTTCTAACACTGCTACTTATTGTAGGCAATATCGGTTGGGCTATGCATAAGTGGCTTGGTTTATGGTAGGTTCTTATGACAAGATATTTATTGAATGGACTGTTGGACTCGAGGCTGACCCATATTGAACTTCGTTTTATACAGGTCCACCCTATGGCTTTGGTAGACACCAAGCTGCTCTCTCTACTCATGAAGTCGAGGGTTTCTTGCGGGTAATTTTCAACAGATTCACTATATTGCTTGATATACTGAACGTTCTGGATTCTTAGGGCGACTATATATTCAGCCACTTCTATGACTGGGCTATCGCAAGCATTAAGCTGTCGATTCTTGGACTTTACTATCGCATTTTTAGCACAGTTGTCTTTCGCCGAGTTGTCATTGGTGCCGCAGTCTTCATTATTTGCTGGCTCGCAGCTATGGAGATCGGCCTAGGGCTAGAGTGTATCCCCATTGAAAGCATTTGGAATCCGGATATTAAGGGGACCTGTATAAATCTGGTGGCATTCTCCTACTTCACCAACATTACGAACCTGATCACCGACATATGGGTGTTTCTTCTTCCACTACCGATTATCTTCAGACTGCACATCAGTCGAAAGCAAAAATTGGAGGTCGCAGGTGTTTTCGCTATCGGTCTATTGTTCGTTATCCTCCTCGCTCTCTGAAAGTTTCTTCTGACATACATAGCACATGCGGCGTTACTCTTGCCCGCTTAACCGTTGTTGTCTCACAAGGGTCATCAGACTTCACTTGTACGTCCAAATAAAATTTCCTCACCATTCAATATTTACATACTGATAGAAAGAAAAATAGGGGCTGGTGTTCCACTTGGAATTCTATCTATATACGAGCCACTTTGTGGAATCGCTTGCGCGAATCTCCCCTTTCTATACAAATTAGCAAGCGGGCCTTTCAAGAAATCTTCTTCCTACAATATTTCCCATGCAGGGGAGTCAGCTCCTGGAGCAGGGTATAGAGCTAGGCAAAATAGCTCAAGGAGGCATAGAAGGCCACTGAGTAGGCACAGTCAAGGGATGATGCTATCACGAAATGGGAACGATTCGACAACATTGATTGCGATACCATCCAAGCCAGATCCTGAGATAGAGCTATCGACGGTAGAACGGTCGTATTCCATGTCTCAATCAGGTAGCCAGGAAATATTAGGGGGTTAAATCACCAATTAATAGATTGCGAAATGATTAAATTATTCCGAGATTAATTGCCGGCGAATGGGCAAAGGATATTTCGATAGACGGTTTAGATTCCTTCCAGTTGACATCAAGGAGGCGGTTTTCAAAAGGAGAAGGTCAAGCAGAAGAAAATAACTGAATTGGGCCTTGTGGCTGAGGTCTATACATGCAATGTCTCTGTTCTATATAAATCAAGCAAGCTGGGAAATGGGTACCTTTGACCACCAAAATTCTGTTTCCTTTCTCGCCCAATCATCCGCAACACATTTTGCGGGAGGAGCAACGTTACCTCCGATCAATTCGTCATTTCCCTCCCCAAAGATCATAACTTTTGTATCCGTCGGCTGGAAGGGCTTCCACTCTGGCCTTTGTCCATATCGACCAGATATAGCATTGGGATCACCAGTTGTAATGAAACTAGTCAAGTAGGCATGAAGTGTGCCAGATAGCTCTTTCTGGGATTCTGAAATCCCCGTAATGGCACTGTTATAGGTCTCATAGTACATATTATCGGCATGGTTTGCTCGACCGACGACTGTTCTAGGTAGAGCCCAGTGATAAAGGTAAACGGGAGCACCCTGGGATGATGCAAATTGTGCTGTCTGGCGGACTGGTGCCACATACGAATAGTGTCCGTAAGCAGCTTCAATACGCTTATATTGAGGTCCGAGACCCTCGCTCTGTCTGGTTTCAACATATGGCGATGTGGGATTGGCGGCAGGATCAGGATATAGCTTTTCGATTGTGTCCAGATCTGACGACGAGAGCTCGGGCAGAAGATTGCGCCAGAACTCGCGGAACTGGGAGGCGTCCGACATTTTCTTGTCGACGTACATTGTTCCCTCGTTGCTGTTGAACCCGGTTATGATGGGTACTTTATTCCAGACGTTTGACTCCCATGCTTCGAGGGGCTTGCGAGGAATAATGTCTCCATCAATCACGGGTTGGAATGCCCACCGAAGGGAAGGGTTGTACTTGTCGAAAACAGCCGTTTGGGCATTTGTAACAGCCAAACTGGGAAGCGAACGTAGGAATGGGAAGATCTCGGCTTCGGCTATACCATCTGGGCAACCGACTTCTTGGAGGAAGTCTGCAAATTGGTCCTCGTGAACCTTGGCGTTATATGGGCGAACAGCACGGGAAGTTGGTGCTCCCGACTCGATAATGACACGATGGAACAATGGCGATTTATGTTCATCATAATTGAGGAGGTGATGACCAATCTAGACTTTTGTTAGAATGAGATCTTTGAAAAATTTAGTTATTGGGGGAAATTACTGAATGTGCCCCCGCAGAAAGACCAAACAAAGTGACGTTAGCGGGATCACCGCCAAAATTGGCGATGTTCTCTTGGACCCACTGCAACAGATGCACCTGATCACGCAATCCAAGATTCAGCAACCCCTCCTTCTGCGACAGACTTGAAGGCAGGAATCCAAGAGCTCCAATGCGATAACCGAAGCTCACAGCAATGAAGGGCTGTTCTGACCACGCCACCATGGAGGCAGTATTGTGCATAGTTGCCGAGCCCCGATTAAAAGCACCACCGTGGATATAGACTGCGACAGGGAGCTTGCCCATATCCTTGCTTCCAGCCAATCGAAAAATGTTCGCCGTCAAGCAGTCTTCACTCTGCACGAGCTTCGGCCCTCCAGAGAGAAGGGCCTTTCCAGGAGCTGCGGGGCCATACTTGGACGCATCAATGGTATCTGATGAGCTCGAAACTTTGACAGCTGGTCTGAAACGTCGATCCCCTATAGGAGGAAGGGCATACGGGACTCCTAAGAAGGCATCGACTGGTTGGGGAAAGGAGTCATTGAGCTGGGTCCCGACCACGTGGCCTTGCGCCAAGGTGACAGAAGGAGCCTTGATGTCAATAGTCATGATGTATCAACTTATCAGGGTTCAATGGTAAACCAAGGGAAACCAAGACAAAAGTTGGGGGTCGGGGGTGAGATATAGCACCGTGACGGTCACTATCTTTCCGGCGTTTAAAAGTAGCGCCGAAGTTCTACTGTGCGGGGGAGACTATCTTGGTGGAGTCGGGAGTAAGATAACTCTAGCGCGGGTAGAGCGGAGACATCGCTACATCGCTATCTCTCCGCTCAAAAGTCCTCGGGTAGTTATATTGTGCGGGGACGGCACTTATCTTAGTGGAGTACACCCTAAAGATAACGGGAAAATGTCTTAAAAGGCTTTGAGGGGTATCTGATTCCCTATATGGGGACCATTTCCATCTTCTTGTTTACTATTTACTATTACTCATAGGATCGCCAACATGGAGATCGACAAGAAAGCACCCGTGGACGATATCATCAACGAGAAAGATGTGCAAATTGGCACTATAACAGATCTCGATGAAGGAGAGGTTTTCCTCCGCCAAAATGGATTCAATCAAGCGGCTATCCAAGCACTTCTGGATGACCAGCCACGCAACAAGGCGTTGGTCCGGAAAGTAGATCTTATTTTGTTGCCTTTACTTTCCGGGACATATATGCTTCAATATATTGACAAATCAGCACTCGCCTACTCTGCGGTGTTCGACCTTCTTTCTTCCACGCATATGTCAAGCGACCAATACAGCTGGCTTGCTAGTATCTTTTATTTCGCATATCTCGTCGCTGAATACCCATGGAATATCCTTGCACAGAAAACGAAGCTTGCCAAAGTTGTCTCTGGAAACGTTATTGCCTGGGGAGCGATGCTCATGATTACTGCCGCCTGCTCCTCCTTTACCGGAATGGCTATCTGCCGCTTCCTTCTGGGAGTTTTTGAAGCTCCTATCACACCTTGTTTCATGCTGATGATCGGAATGTGGTACACACGCGCCCAGCAACCT